GTACCACGCTCGCTAACAGCCATGAGGACCCAAGGTAAATGGCAAAGCGCTTGCACATAGCAACTACAGGCAGAAATCCTTCAGCTGAGCATTGTTCTGGCTCAAGTAAATTCAGTCTATTTGGACAAGTGATTTTTTTCAAGGCAGAAGCTAGCTTTGCTTGGCCATCACAATCTTCCGTGTCTTTTGTGATGTGATGGGGAATCTAAATCAAATGACGGGGACTGTGCAACAGACCTACTTGATTCTTAGTCTAATTAAAATTCTTCATTATAGTCCCCATTTCCTTAATTTAAAACAAGACCTTCTAGCTATCCTGAGACATGTCTTCACAGTGTGAGCAGCCAAAAACCTGCCACCTGACCCGTTTTTAAAGGGCACTTGCAACAACTGCAAAGTTGCACTGAACGTTATACAGAATGAGGTAAATCGTACAGGTCAACCAGCAAGAAAGCACACGCCTGTCATCTTGCTGAGTGAACGGCCCTTCGGGAAGGGCCAACTTTTTTACAGCCATCTGCTGCTGAGCCACTATATTTAATACTTACAAGTCACTCCCAGGCATGCCAAAAAACGGGACCATACCTGCAAGATCTCAGCAGATGTTAGGTGTAGGGAGGACAAAGCAGTGAGCTCCAATTTACCCAAACGGCATAGGTTGCTATGGAAACCTCAAGCATGTAAAAGAAGCACTTTAAAAACAAAACAAAGCGAGGCAGATTTCATATCCAGTCTGGAAATGTTTATGACCAGAAAAGGCAAAGTGGGTGTTAAATGCTTTTTAGCTAAGTCAGTAGCGCCAGCCCTTGACAAAGAGGTATTACAGATTCACAGCACCCATCATGTGTCTTCTATCCTAAACCCCAGGAGAAAAATCTCTGTACTCTGCCAATATTATGGTATGAAAATTCTGTTTTTTAACCCCTTCTTGGCATCCTCTCTCTTTCTAAATTACTATTGTCAGATGCAAATTTCAGGTAGCTACACTAAATCTATCAATCATGACAAGTGGAAAATATATAGCTAGAATTAATCTGACACAGAAGAAATAAAATCATCTGTGGCTTTAAATATAATCAAAACTGAAAATCCTAAAGAGCAATTTTTTTCTGAAAGAGAAATGATGAAACTTTGCCATTCATTTTAACTGGAAAGTGCATAGATCATCCTGTTGTGGCCCAGGAGTGTTATACTTGATCAAGTATAATCTACCTCATTAAGAGAGTTTGTGCTTGAATATTCAAGTATTCCATAATTAAATGATTATTGCTGGTTGTGTGGAGACAGAAAAATTCCTGATACTAATATGGCTAATTAATAATGTTATTACTTATATAAGATTATTAAATAACTGAATGGTTATATTATTGATGGTATGGCCTCGTGTGCTAGCCATTGTCTCTTTCACAACAGCTCCAATCTGCACGTTCCCTGCGGGCGACAGGCCACAATCCTTCCTTACAGAGACAGCTTCTGTTCATCTCCTCCTTATCATCAAAAGCCTGAGGGCCACTACATTTTGGAAAAGGTGGTGGTGGCGGCTATTTTGGAAAGGAGGATTTTAACTGGGGGAAACCGGTAGACTCAAGCTTCTGAAAAACCACAGACAAGTTTTGAATAACGCAATTTTTGAGCTTTCTCTGGACAAGAGAAATACCCTGCTGAAAAATGACATTTCAGTGTGAAGGAATAGGGAGGAAAAAAAGTAAAAGCACAGTCTGTATCTTCTACACAAACAGTACCGTCACACCTGCGGCAGGGAGCACACAAGAGGAAACTAGAGATAAATATGAACAAGTAACAATGAGCGAGGGAAAGGAAAAGGCTGTGAGAGGCAAAATTTGGGGGAGACAGGAGAAATACAAGGGAATACAGGAAACAAAACTCAAAAGGTGCTCTGCAAGTTAGGAAGCTCTAATATCTGTTCCAATAGCTCATATGGGCTCAGACTGGTGATAACAGTCTGGTGGTAAGAGCAAAAACAAAATACCCAATAAAATAACCCCTCTCTGAATCCTTGGTGTATATATAAATATTTGTTTTCAAATAAACTGAACACCTCTGTAACATATTTACTGTAAATTAAACAGAATTCATAGCATTAAACATTTTTCAGTAAGCTTTTGTTTGGGACTACCGTACTGTCAAAACAATCCTGGGGAAGAAGCCAGCCTCACAACTGGGAAAAAAGCCTTTAGGGTGAGCTTTTTTTTTTTTTTTTTAAAGAGATTTTTAGTGTTCAAATCTGTAAAATTAGGGGGAAAGTTCCTCCAGCTATTTTTTTGAGTTAAACATTAGAACGTAACTGTATATTTCCCATTGCAAATATACGTTAAACCATGCACTTGACTAACTGAAAAGTAGTACTTGAAATTTCCAAGCTGACTGGTCTCGAGTGAAAAAAAAATCAAGTCTTTAGTTATCATAAAAACAACATAAGAATTAGGACTTATTAAAACGGGTGTCTGTAAAAGTAAGATTTGAGAACTGTGAGCGTGCTTGCAGCAGCGAGGAACAAATTTCCGTCTACACGAAAGACGTCCCTGTAGAAAAATCTCCTAAGCAGATGTGGGCTGGAATCTCTGCTGCCCCCAGCCATCTCCTGCCCTTCCGGCAGGGCAGGAGGTGGGGATCTGCCGCCACCTGGCTAGGTGACTTATTTGGGAGGAGGTGGGGGGAGGAAGGAAGGGCTGGCAAGTTCCCTGCCGGCATAAAGAAACTTGACCTCTCTGCCAACTGTTCCCCTCACAGGCAGAGCACTTGGGACAGGAGGAGGAATGACACCACATGCCTTCTCCCTGCTGTGTGTCAATGGGTGATACAAGAGCAGCACAGCCAGCCAGCAGGAGCAAGAACAGCACTTGGACACCAGCACTAAAAGGACATCAATCCAGGAGAACATTGTAAGGATCATCAGCTCCACAGTATACACCGTACCACCATACACCAGCATACCTTTGGATGTTGTGGGGGGAACCTTCCTCTCCTCCCCGTTCAAAGGAAGCAAAGTAGGAACTAAAACTCAATTTGCTAACATAGCTTGAAACTGAGAAGAAAAACAGTTTTTCACTTACAACAGGACCAGCCTCCTACCCTCAGTTACATATCACACCTTCACTGAATTCAACTCGGTTACAATTTCCGTAGGTGGAGGTTTGGGAGTTTAAAAGGGTCCCACAAGCCCCCATCTCCTACTCCCTGTTGCAGAATGACTGCTCTTAGCACAGTATGTCAAAGCCTCTCTTGTTCTTCCCCCTCACAGACTGCAGCAGTGTATGCGACTTCTTAAATGTGCTACATGTAGCTCGTATGAACCAATCAAGGCTAAAATGTTGTCTTGATAGAACACAAAGGAATCAGCACTGCCCCTTGGTTAAGTGAAAACACCCTAAGGAGTGCCATACTTGGGCATATATACAGCGACCTGGTACAAAGCACCAGGTATCCAAAGAGAGAAAATGCAAAATGCCTTCCTACTTCAACACTAATTCTCAGGAGATACATTACAGGGCCAGGATCTTAGCTTCAAACACAAGGCATTACAGAAACATATTCTAAAAATGTATTTCTATAGGAACGAGGTTTAAAGCAAAGACATTATTATTTAATGAAGTATGTTTCCTAACGATATTCATTCACTGTAGAAGAATAAGCTCTTTCAAAGGTTGTATGGTGCTTTAGGTAGACAAGCTGCTATTAGATTTGTTTGATACACAAAAGGGAATGATTCTGCCCAGTTTTAGAATACAAGGATTAAAATGACTCAACAGTCTTTCCTTTAGGTCATCAATAACATTAAAACATAGGCAGAGAAGAGTATTAACAATTTGACTGTCCTTATCAAGTAACTATTTTAATCTACAGCAAATACTGGCTAAGATAGACTTTTTCTAAGCGTCAACTTACTCTTATATTAGAGAGGAAATTTACCTTGCTCCACAATGCTGATGTGTTACAAGGCACAGAATGTGTGTGTGCGCTCAGGTCCTACTGTAGGCAAAAAGTGAACACATACCAAACCTATGTTTTGGTCCAATATAAAGGATGCTTGTTAACTGTAGTGAGAACTTAACCATGTAGATAGCACATATGATTTTCCATGGAGATAGCAATCACCAGCTCACTGCTTCGACAACAGGTAAGACATCTACATCAGGCAAACTTGAAGAATTCCAGCAAGGCAATCTAGAATTGCATCTCAGCTGTTGATTGCTTCTCTGTATAAGCAAAAGTTTAAGAGATATCCTTCAGAATAACATTCTTTAATACTACATAAATTGACCTAGGAGCAATGTTTTGGTAGTAGCACCAGACTGGCACTGACTTACTGTGTGATTACACTAAATTAGGCCCAAATCTTTGAGACAATTCTTCCAGGTGTCTAATCTGGCAGCATAAGCCGCCTTGTCCCACCTGACAGCACTGGAAGCCACAGCTTAATTGTGCTTAAAAGAAATACACAAAAAGAAATTTAAAATCTATTAATGAATTCTGAAAGCAATGTTTTGGATCTCTTTGTATCTATTTTCCTGTCTATGACAATTCTAAACCAGCGGGGATAGAAGACTGTTAATATTCAAGCAACGGGCAACCCAGACTTGACTGATAAGACCTGGCTGAGGAGTTTCTCTTCCTTGTCCTTGTCTGTCCTGCCTGCATGGATAAATAGTTAGGAGAAAGTCTCACTGCAGAGTGTACAGCGGAGGGAAGCCTTGATCCTCTGTTCTACTAGACACTAGGATAATTCAAGTAATTATATAAATAGCAAAACTGACTCCTTTGTTGGAAAAGGCTTTGCAACCTACAAATGAAAAGCAAGGCGTTAGTTCTTGGTGCAGTTATTAATACTTAGAGACCATCATGAAGTGCAGTTTTCTCATTTCTATACACATAGCACACATGCAGCTGGCTTTACTGTCTTGTCTTTACTTGGAAAATAAACTACTATTAGCAAAGAAAGGGAAGACAAGGGGAGGTGCAAAAATAACTGCTCACTCAAATCTTTCTGCTCCAGTTGGTATCTCTCAGATCTTTAATTTCAGGTGTTTCTGTAGTTTCAGGTATTTTGTGTTCTTGCAAGATTGATCATTACTCATTCTCAAAATTGAAGTCCGTGATTTACCATCATCTAATACCATATCATTTCTGAAGGCAAAACACCACTGTCCATACAACACAGTAAGCTTCTGATTGTCAAAGATCTTCATGACATCCATTCTTTTCTCCATCAGATATTTGGCAGAACTCTGTTTCTGTAAGGCTTCCTTTGAATTTGTAGCAAATCTGAGGCTCTGGATCAGTTGCGGGTTTATATCCAACAGTGCACAAAATAGGCCCTCTTCAACTTCAAATTCCCTCAGATTCTGGATAAATGATCCTGAATGTCAGGTTTATCCGCGCATCCCTGGAATGATACTCCTTAGGTACTCGATGCTGTAAGTGACAGTATGAAAAAAACAAAAACATGAGTTTGAGTATTTAAAACACAGGTAAATCACACAACATAAAAAACCTTGTAACTTCATTTCCTGTCATAGGATTTTAATTAACTTTTCTAAACATTAAGGTAAGGCAAAAAATTCACGTTTCAACTGCTCAGGGCCATTGAAAACAAAAGGTCTTCGTAGATTTCTGTAGGGCTGTTAAATGAAGCTGCAACTTTTTATGTTTCCAGTTCCTAACGTGCTTTTGCTCTTTCAGATGCAGGCTGAAACCTTCACTGCTGAACTTAAAAAAGGTTGGAACATCTGCATATGAGGTAATTCCTATCATATCAATTAGTACTGAATGAAAATCCATTGTTTTTGTAAGTGCTTTGAAATTCTGAAGTGAATAGCAGTATCAAGGTGTTGTGAAATACTGTATTACTGCAAGCAGAACATCCCATGTCTCTGTGGGAGTGCCTTGTGTGTTTTTAGAAGACTGCACTGCAAGTAAAGCACATAAACAGCGCCAAGGAATTCTTACCTGCCAATCTGCCTGGGTAGCTCCTTCCATCATCAGTAGAGTCCCATGATCAAGGGGGATTCGTAGTCTTTCTACGTAAGTATAGTCTCCATTCTCTTCCTAAAAAGAAACATTAGAAACAGAAGTGGGCAATTGCATTTGGTAGAAAATCAGTCCTCTTTAGCAGAGCTTAAAATATTGGGAGGGGAAAGAAAGAAACTAGTTAGACAAGAAGTCTTAACTAAACCTGTCTGCAACCATATTTCACAAAGATTTCAGGAGCTGAGCATGTAAAGGATGAAAGAAGCCATTGCATCTCATTGACTGCAATACACGGACAAAGTTCAACAACTAGTTCCCAAACTTAGCGCAAAATTCTGGACCGAGATAGCGAATATTTCAGAAACATAGTCACTCTTGAACAGTTCTGTGTGAAGACATTCTGCAATAATAACCATTATTCCAATGGTCAACTACCTCATGAAAAATGTGTCTTCTTTCTATTCTGAATGTGTCTTGTTTCAGGTTCCAGACATTACATTTTGTATACTATTTTCTGCTGGATAAAGAAAAACTCTGATCAAAAACTCTCCTTTTCCTAGTAAAGCAAGTTCCTTAAGCTTTGCCATTGTTAAGCAAAACAGACTGCTAAACTAAAAGACACAAATCATTTGCAAAACTTTCTTTAAGCCTTCAGATCATCTACAACATTTTTAAAGTAAAACTACCATGACTGGATGTTACACACTGCCGTATTGGTTTCACAGGTGCCGCACAGAGTAAATAGTTACTATTTCTCTACAGTATCCCTTCCAATTTTAAATCAGACTGATGCACATTGCTGAATCAAGTGGCTTAGAGAAATCTATTATGCCAACACAGTTCTCTCTATCAGTCAGGAGAGTAATCATCTCCTCATGAAAAAGCCATATGGTCGGGTATTAACGCTGTATATACTCCTTTAATATTTTCTGATTTTAGCCTTCAACAGCTATTTTTCTTTTCAATCTGGGAACAAACATGACTTGAGCTGATAATAAACCACCCAATTAAACAGGTAGTGAATCAGGGTCTACTTATCCTCTCCCCTCCCTTCTTTTTTTTTTTAAGAAAATGTCAGCACATTAACTTTTTCCCAGTCTTCGCAATATTCCAGGACTTGCTAAACAGTATTATGGCTCTTCAGCTCTTCAGGTTCTTAGGTATAGTTCATTTAAGACTGCAGAAAATAAAATGTTTACTTTGGGCAACTTCCATTTAACATCTTGGCTACTTAGTGTAGGCATTTTGATTATTTCACTAGTATTAAAATACTGGAAAACCAGTATTTTTCCAAATACGGAATGAAAGCATTTGTTTTGCCTTTTATAGATCTCTATTGCCAGCTTTGTAAGCTGTCTAGTAAGAGTGGAAAACAAAATTCTGAAATGAGGAAGTTTCGAGTGGAAAATCAGCTATAAAACATTGGGGATGGGGGCAGGGGGAAAGAATTGGGAGAACAGACTTTGAAAAAATATTTTAGTTAGTCTTTAAGAGGAGGGGACTCAAGGGATCTTTTATTTTTAATTTATGGAAAGCCACAAACAGCCTGAAATTGCAAACTGCATGATAAATGTCCTCCAGTGAAAAGGAGTACGACAAGCACTTGTTCTCAAGCGCTGGGCTGTACATGTACAGGGTTAACCCTGTTCTGAGTATATTACATATAATGAATGCAAATTTGTTTTTGCACCTTTTTTTTTTTTTTAAAAAGAGATCACCAAATCAGTTATTTGTTCACAAAAGAAAAGCCAGAAATATAGAGGTACAATGAACAGGTAAAAAAAACATAATTAGGCCAGATCTTAGAGGTTTCTAAACCATGACAGCATCATTGTAAAGGACCATAAAACTTACAGACAGGTACTGAACAGAGGCTTCACATGTTTTTTCCTCTAATTTATTTTTATTTTTAATTATTAGTGAAGCAGTACCTTCTCTTCCAGTTTCTTGGTTGTTTTACTCCTAAAATTGTACTTGCTGAACGTTTGGGAGGAAGCAATGCTCAATTATTTCAGAACCAGCTTAGACAGCAACTACTCCAGACTGAATTAAACAAAATCTCTTACTACCAGAGTGGCATGTCATCTTTGTCACATAAAATGAAACCTTACTCGTGTCACTTGTAACAGAAGCAGATGCCAAAGAAGCTGGAAACAGTATGGAACAACTGAGGCTCGGAAAATGGAATCACCACAGTAAGCTTTAACCCAGCTTGAGGCAGGGGGTATAGTTACCTCAATACTGACAAAAGCTCCAAGTTTCTGAAGCTGAAGCAAAGGTTACAAGATCCCAGGCTTTATCTCTATGTTGAGTTATTCAGTAAAACTAAGAGTGCAATGCATAGACAGGACAGGCAGAAGAAAAACGTAAGCAGTCATAGAAGGCAGACATGATATTTTGAGAGCCATTAAGAACACCTAACAGCTCTGACCCACCATGTTTTGCTGCTTTTAGAAAAACTCACATTTGCAAAAATCTGAACTAGCTTCCTTGAACCTTAATTCTGGAATGGCCCAAGCTGATACACGTTTGTCTTTTTAAAGACATCGACTCTTTTTTTAAAGACATGAACTGCTGCAAGGCTGCATGGAACACTCAAAATAATGAGGAAAAGTCTCAACTACTGAGAAAATTATGTCTTGGACTAAAAAAAAAAAAGAAATTGGGAAAGAACAATCCTTATTGCAGGGAAAGGAGGAAAATCAAAGACAGGAGGTAGAAAGAATACAGTACAAATTCTCTAAAATGTAAATGAGTTTGGTTTGGTTGGAGTCAAATCAATTCCCAATACTAAAAAGCACCACTTGATATAATTGACTTAGCACCTTTGCCACTTTCTGTTCATGTCCAGGACTAGATATTAATCACTGAATGACAGAATGAGGTTACTCATATACTGCTAAACCTTTGAAATCAGTGAGCGCTGAGGAGACTCAGGATCATGGCTAATATTCTCTTGTTAAAGACGATGCCCACTTGCAAAACATATTTCAAAGTTTCTGGAATCGTTAGCTATGTTTCTTGCTCTATTAGAGGTAGTGCCAAAAATGTTTTCTTAAACTGCAGAGGAAACTAGCAGAAAATTTCAAAAATAGGTATCATAAACATGACTTCTGACAAAGAGCAGAGAAATACCATTGCGTGATTGTTTTTGATTTCACGATTAAATCATTTCATTCTGCGGCCAGACAACAGTGAATTCTTTGTCTCTTGTTCATCTTGATTGAAATGAATCTTCTGAGAAACATGATTTAGGAGAAACCATCCTTTTACATAATGGCTTTTCTAAGGCAAAACCAGCAGTTTCCATCCATTTTAAATGGCACATCTCTGAGCTCAGGTTAACTCAGAAAAAGATATTTCCATATCCATTGGTTATTCAGAGCAAGTAAAGTTAGACACAAAAAGATTTTATCTCACATGCAATTACTTACACTGCCCACCAAATCCTCATTTCAGAACCTTTATCTCCAGAGCTGACATTAGACATATGAGAAGCTCAGATGGGTTTCAGAATTCAAGTTTATGAAGGAAAATTATTCCTGATTTCTAAAGAGGTAAATAAATAAATACTGATAACAAACATGGAACAAAATGCATGAGGTAACTTTTATACAGTCACTTGGTAACTCTGTGTACATATTACAAAGCCAGCTGCTTCCAAAATAAAGGCCTAGTAAAGTTACTAATCTGCTTCTTGGTTTACTAGAATTTTACAGCTCTAATAATTTTGAGTTGCACAATTAATACAATCCAAATTATATACTGTTCAAGTAACCTGGTTAAAACATTTTTTATTCTTTTTTATTCTCACTCAAGTAACTACGGTTAATAAGTCAGGAAAGCTCAGCTTTAGTTGATGGGAAGCAGTGAATATAATATTTAAAAATATTCCTAGGCTTCGTCAACTATTTTCTTAAAATAGCATCAAAAAATCAAGAAGGTAAGAAAGAACAAAGAGCTATAAATTTTACTCACACCTACAAGAAGCATTTACTGCTGGTAACCATAGCCTCAGTTTGTTTGAACACTTAGATACATGATTGAACTCATTCAGTGGAATTAAAATCTGTTCCCAAAAGTCTTGTTTAATATTCATGCCACATCCTCATCAAATAGTTGCTATAGTACAATATACCTCTTCAACCTATATCAATTACTTAAGTTTCATAAGTCTCCTACAAGTTTGAGATAATAGTAAGAAACAGGCCCTGGACAGTGTGGAAGCATCTTATAAAGAAAAGTAAATGGAAACATGCCGTATAAGAACATATAAATAATAATGCAGTTATCGATGCAAATGGTGAAAAAATCATTTGCCAAAGCTAAAGTCAGTAGCCCAGCTTGAGAGTGCTGACTTCTGGTCTTCTGCTTTACCTATTACCTTGGCCAAAAGAATTATCCTTACAAAGCTACATATCTCATTCTTCAGACTCCCATATTGCTTGCATCTTTTTTTTCCCCATTTACTCCTCTATCGTTAATTATGAAAACACCCGTTATAACACCCCCCCAGAGTGGTCTCATCTATCAGTTCCTTTGCATTATTACCTGTTTCCTCTCACCACTGATGAAATCCTCACTACAGCTCTCTCCTTTATGGATTCAGTAAGAATGGTTATCTGCCTTCCTGCGCATACAGTCATATTGCCCTTTCCTCTCACAACCGACTTGCCCTGCTGCCTTCAAACTCCCTTAGTCTTTCCGCAGCTGGCCTTGCGGACTGTAAGTGCACATAACAGTGAAGTGTGGTAGCTCTAAGGCACCTGCATCTTCCTCTCTACTTTTTATAGCTGCTCAAGTCCTGCCAATATTGATGGACAAAGCCTCCTCCTCTGCAGCCGCTGCTGCCTCAAGTCTCCTTCATGCCAATCTAAAAAGTTCAACCCTCCTTGTCCAGATCCTGGCCTTTCTACTGCGCTCCGTACATCTCCATGTTCTTGGATTATGCCTTTTAGGACACCACAGGTTATTTCTCTACTCTTGTTCAAAAGTACTAGGAGATCTTTAACTTCTGTTGGAACAGCTACCCAAGGACAGAAGAAAAGGACCTTACTTTAGTGTTTCATTTGAAGGACAGACGCATATGAAGGCTGATTCTGAGAACACCATGAACATCCTGCTATTATCTAAAATACAAACGAAACGCTCCCGCCCTGCAGAATCCATTGGTTTCCTTGGTTACTGATGGAGGAACAGCAACCTGACAACTGTCTTTAGCTCCATTCACAGTTCACACTGCAGTTAGCTGGGCAATCGCTCCAAACTAATCCTTAGGGCACACGGACCTCTGCTACAGGACAGCTCCCAGCAGGACACCAGAGCTTATTGAAACAGCAGATCTAGCCCCTTACCCTTTAACTAAGATTTGACACTCAGTTTCCCAAAGAGGCTAATCAGAGAAGCTGGCACTGTCTCACTGAGTTAAACAGCGATAAGCAGCCGCACAAATGGTAGTAAGACTCTTTCAGAAAGACCCTTCTAACACAGGGAAATCAGTTACCCTAGAGTGGAAAAATTAAGCCATATAAAACAGAGGCCTTGTGGAAAATAGGAAGAGGACACAGCGATAGAGAGGTGACAGGTATGCTGCCAGAAAGCACGAGAGGATTTGTCGCCTAAACCAATAGATCCTGTGTGGACCGTGTATGAAACAACTCCAAAACAAAGCAGCCACCTGCTGGTTTCAGTGCCCACAAACTGAAAAGGCAGTATTTAGAAGAAAGGACGTTCAAATAGACGTCCGTGGGTAAAGTAAAAGTTTCTAGCATCACGTTAATCTCCATGAGAAGTCTCCCTAGCAATTCCAGGTGGAGATTTGCTCCTGAAATACATCTGTTGTGGTTTTACATGCATTGGGTTAAATCCACGTAGGAATTATTGCTGCCAAGCTATAAGGGATGCTTGTGCTGGGGATGCAAATAGGCTATGCATGTCTCTGAAATCCTTTACCATCCATACCAGTACATAAGGCACACTTGCACACCCAGTACAGTAGTCACCAAAAAGAAATCCAGCAGAATACTGAACCCTTCCTCCCCCTCACTCTGGAAAAATTTACAAGGGAAAAAACCACTGGCACCTAAGGTTTCTTCCTCCTTTTTTGCTACAAAGAAACATGCAAGGAAAGGAAAATAAAATAGCTTCCTTTTGTGACAGAGTGGCCCACACAAACTGAATAAGAGTCAACTTCCTACCAGACCAACGTCAAAACCTCATACACACGCTCCCCAAAGTAGTCAGCACTGGTCTCCCTTGCGGTTTTCTCAGAAAAAACAGGCATTTTAATCCCTAATAAGTTGATGCACATTTCAAGACACAATATGGTAAATATTTGCATGGTTACTAATGTAAACTGCAGTCTTTAAAACTTCAATCTAGTATTCCTCAATAGCTCTACAGGATGTTATCTGACCAGTTGTACATGTTGTTTTGTATCCAGAACCTGATCAAACACAGACAGTCGCTGAATTTTTTTTTTACCCTGTACCACTCATCCATGATGAGCCTCTACTACAACATTTATCATCTTGTATTTTCATGGCACCTTTCATCTTAAAATACTTGAAAGGACTTAGAAGAACACATATAGAGACATGAAGGCCTTCAGAACTCTCAAATCTAAATTTTTAGAGCTTTGGCCATCAGAGAAGCTGGATTTTGAGAGAAAAAGTTCTTAGTCCCCTTTCCTTCCTCTGTGAAGACTAACTCTGGAATACCTGATGCACTAAAACTGGCATATTACACACTAGAGAGCCCGAACACCTGTGATGACTGTTAGACTGAATCCCCAGTCCCTAAACTACATTCCTATTCCTGTAACTTCAAATATGTACAATCATCATTTACTTTGTCTTAAAGAAAACAAGAATGCTATATTGCAATAGACTGAAAATTGCTTCTTTGGTGGTACAGCCTGAAAGGTTGTAATTTCCATCAGAATCTCCTTAACTCCCACTTCGCAGAGCTTCTAGTTCATAGGATGCCCTCAGGGAAATTGCAGGCTTTTGCAATGTGCAAAGAATATCTAACATGTGCTGTATAATTAAGTACAAGTTCCCTTCAGGCACAGGATACAGTTAATAGCAACTTGTTCAAAGATCACTCTGCACATGGTGATCATACCTTAGAAACAGGTATGTCACACTTGCAAAAGGAACACACTTCATGTTTAACAAGACTCAGTTGGTCAGAAATATTAGGTAAGAGAAACTGAGGGCAGCTTGACAAGTATCTCTGTAGAAAATCATCCGCCTCAGAAAGAAAAAGGAAGAAATCATGCAGTACAGGTCAAGGAAGGTGGCCAATTACTAAAGGCAGAGACTGAATTTCTCCCTTTGCTTATAGTGGGTTTGTTTTCAGGAAATAGAAAGCAGAGCAAATAGGCATCTCGCTCAAGAATTAGGTTCTACTGTTAGAGGGAGAGGGCAAAGTTTGTACTGAAATCCCAGTGGCCTTAATTCTGATCCATCCAGAGGGAACACATGCACCTCTAGAAATGAATCCAAGTACCACTGACAGCTTCCCACAGGAATGAACTTTCCCGCTGACATTTAGCTATCATTACAGCGTCACAGATACTTACTCATGCTATGCCCACTGATACAAAACACTGGTTACTGGATCTCACGTGCTCAGGGACCACAGGATAAAACTCACCTCAAGCCACAAAGAATTTACAAACTAAGAAGGGAAGAAGTGGTTTTAAAAAAATAAAAAGAATTATTTACCTTTCGGATTCAAGTTGTGACCTTTGCTGTTCACAACTAGGTGATCTAAGGTAACTCTTCATGGGCAAATTTCATTACCTCAGTGCACAGGCATTTTTATAGTAGGTTGATAATCTACACATTTGTTTTCTATATCAGTTTGTTCAGAGTAAATAGCAACATAACTAGACAAACCTCTCAATGATCCCAGCTTTTCAAACTACACATATATACATAGATAGTTTAAAAAAAAAAAAAAAGTGTCTCTCAATTGAAATTCACAGTACCACCACATAACAGAAGACATGCAAAAAAGACATCCACAGCCAGATACCCTGCTTGGATAATCACGAGTTGCAAGATTGAAGTGTTAAGCTTGCTTATAACGTAGCATTCCCTAAAACAGCATTTTATCTAGCCAGAGTATTCTCTGCTGAATAAACAGCTAATTCCTGAAAGGATGTTCCACACATCCCTACAAGGGTGCCACAACAGCCTGTACTTTAGGGAAAATACACCGTCTCTCAGTCCTAACATACACAAGCCAGAACGCAAATAGCACTAAGGAACAGTCAGAGCTTCTCTTCATCCCACATACACTATGCAGTGACTGATCTTAAGAACAGGACAGCAACTCTGCGTTCACTTACACAGTGAAAGCCCCCTCCTAATTCTGTTCAGGGTCCTTTGCAGTACTCACCATGAATATCACTCATTTTGCTTTAACTAGCTGGAAAGGCCTTATTCCTTATTCTGGCAGAAGAATCCTCGGATTGTAATTTCACTGCAACATTACATTGCTGCACATTATTATACAGCTGTTTCCTTCCAAACCTGAAGATGTTACATTCCGTAAAATAGGTAGTTTGGTTCCAGTGCTTAATTCACAGAACTTATGGTGTGTTTTCATTAATTACTAACATTATTTACACACTTTTAGTAATTAAGTTCTCTAGTCACAGCAAAAATACTACATGTATTAGTGATTATGAGACTCTCTCGCTGTGATATGAACACTCACAGGAGAGGGTTTCTTCCTCATCTCAAAAGTCCGGGTAGCACCAAAGCTGAGCGAGGCAATGATAGGATTTTTTCCCAGTGCTGGTTCATCATCACTGTGCCAGTCAACGCTATCCTTCTCATTTCGGTAGAGGTTGCAGAGCAGAGAGTTGAAGGTATAGCCGGTGAAATCTTCAATGCGTTCCTTTAACATAGTCAGCAGAGGATGCCACTGTAATCAGCACAGCAGAAATAGGATAAACATAATGAAGGCTTACCAGCAGAGGACAACATCAGGACAAGGGTAAAACTACTAGTAGGTAAGAAGCAAAACATACTACGCTTTCACCACAATAAACTGGAAGCCTCTGAACACTTTTGATTATATTTTTAGCAAAGCTGAGGAACAGGCTTTCTGCTAAACATGCTCCTGTTACCTACGGCTCAATACTAAATCATCTCTTCAAGATATGAAGCCAGCTGCCTTTCATACTAACATGGCAGGCTACCCCAATTAATTGAAAAGTGATGAAGTAGATAGAGTAATATCTGCTTGAACTGACCATGGATAAACACCGGGACTTCTTAACTGGGACAAAAACTGTACTACTACTTCTAGGCATACCTGTTTTTTTGATCTCCTGGCCAAGATACAGGAGTTTAACACCTGGGTCTGCTAACATCAGAGTTATCTTAGCCATTGCTGGTGGGCACAATGCATCCCATAAAGTAGGAATCAGTGACTCAATGATACACTGAATTGCCTGCAATTGTTGCCACAGAATAAGAGACAACAGGTGGCCTAACACTGTCACAACATAGGCCCCTGTTCCCAGCTCTATTAGTACAGCTTGCTCAGCCCAACTCATCACGTCTTTAGGTTTTGACTCCAACATTTTAAATTTTCAGTGATTCATAAAATGAATGATGCAGGATCTGAATCTCATCCTTTCCTTTGGTAACACATTGCTCTGTCCATAATCAGTGGCAGCTATGCACATTGTATTATAACTCGGTCAAGTGAATCATTATTTAACGTTATAAACCTGCAGCAACTGAAGTCATTTTGTCATGAAACATTAGTACATTACCAACTACATCACTGCTTACAAGGAAGCATTTTTCTAATACCAAAATTCTTTTAAGCATTAGCACTAGATTATACTTAGCAGTGTTACTACCATCACACCTCCTCTTACCAAATAAAGAAAAAAGGGGAGGGCGGGAGGGGAGCAAAAAGCTAATTACTACTGCAGATCAAATGTTCAGGGCAGATAACTGGTTTTGGCCAAGCTGTACAGTAAATTACATTTGCTTTCCCTTTAGCATATTTTTATGTGATATAAACCTATTCTACAAGTAAGGATTGTGCTCTTTATGCCATCTACTGTTTCTTCTAGACTGCAGAAACTCCCACCTACAAAGCAGAGTAAAATATCAGGGTGTCTGCAGGCAGTCTATTCATATATTGATCTATAGGCAGTTTCTAGACAGTGGCAGGGCTAGTTTCCAGCTATGTGGGTTTGCCATTGCATCTCACTTTCTGCTTGAGTTTCCTCCTCCCAAAAAAAGAGATAAAAGACTAGATCAACCTGTGTGACTGATTTCGCCCTTGTATGATGAAAATGATGAGGGAAAAAAAGTCGGTGGCCCAATAAGTGCTAACTCTGAACTTTATGCAAACTGGATTGCAACTGTGAATTTAGGGGATATCGATTCCAGCCAACCTCTGAGCAGCAATGGCTTTATTTTTCCACCAAAAATTCTGCAGGCTTCCAACTACAGTATTTTTGAGACTATAAAATCTTCACAACTCTTCTTGTTTCATCGTGCCTTCCCACTTCTCCCAAACTGAGCTTTGCTAGGAGGTGTAGGCAGCAGCTCTGGGACTCGGGACACTTCTGTCTCATGCTATCCAGCCTTCACTAGTCACACTTAATTTATGTCCTGGGTTCAGGACATCCCAGTCTACTGCCATGGAAATTCCAAACAAAGCAATACCAAGAGACAGGCCAACAGACTGGAAGCCAGAAAGATTGACTGAACATGAACAAAACATCAAGTCACTTCGAAGGAAGGTTTCTAACCCTTCCAAAATAGCGTGGGAAATAACATGCTATAATCTGGAGTTGCCGAACAGGCAGGTCACGTCTGTGAATTCCATCACGTTCACACTGGAATCAACAAAATGCCTAAATTCTCAGTAAAGCAATATTACTTTAAATGTTTCTGAAAAGGAAACTTTTTAGTAATTGATATTATTGTTTGTATACAATAAAAAAGGCAGCATGACTGTGCGCACTGCAATCTCCAATATAAAGATACATAGAATAAGTCACACAGAACAATTAAAGAGTTTTGTCAAAACTACAGTGACCCAACAGCAGAGAACCAAACTCCATAGTGATAACGCCCTGTCCTTGTTAACCACTAGATCATGCTCCACCTAATAAATCTACTTGCAACGCTTATTTTATGAAGCACATTCCACTAGCATCCATCCCATTCCACCAGCATCTGTTGCTGATGGAAAAAAGGAAATTCAGATAGAAATTCTACAGAGAAATAGAGGATAGAGAGTATTTTTGTCTCTCAGAAGCCCCTTTGTAAAGGGTTTCTTTGTATATTGCAGTAACAGAAAACTGTAAACATATACATACGTGAGGGTTTGGCTGCATTGTCAACCTGGAGTATGTGTAAGGAAGTTCCCCATACCAGGAGGTAAGTCTTGGCTCCTCAAAGGATACCTCTTAAAAAAATAAAAACAGTAAGACTTTCTCAGTTGTCTTATCAAGTGGCTTGAAAACAGAAAGATGCAATTCTTCAATAAATTTAATCAAAACCACTCAAAAAGGGACAGTCCACTCACCTACAGTTAAGAAGTGGCCCCCTTAAAGGCCCTCAACCTTGCATAAAGACCTCTACTGAAGGAATGACATTATTCAAAAGCAGGCCTTGTGCTCTGCTCTAGAGTTTCTACACAAGGGATTGTCTTGCAGGAATCTTGCAACCACACCAGTTTCCTCATCCCTGTGGCTAATAGGGCAGGCACTGGACGAGTTAGAGATGCAAAATGAAACTGAAATTTCACTTATAATTCTAGGTTGCTTTATATTCTCCTGGTCCCAGTGCTCAATAAACTAGCATAATTTGCAAGGAACATTCACTAGAAAGGATGAAGCGGAAAGGACTGCAACACCAACGGGACGTTACAGAAGCAGAACACAGCAAGGCCAGACAGGTAAGATTTTGCCAAATATGCGTATGCTCTGTGGTATAATAAAAATATCAAGTACAAGTATTTTCAGCTTCTGAAAAGAGCGTCTGGGTAGCCATTTCTCATGTTTGATAGGTAACATGCTCCATTACATATTACTTTTATCACAACCCAGCAAATACAGATGTTGAAAAAAATTTTCCGCCCTTGTCTGGTAACTATTCCAATATATTATCTTATACCTGTTCCTGACTAGAAGAGCGATTTGTCTATAACAGGTGCCCCTTAGTGAACAAATCCGGAATAGCAATCTCTTCATTTACCATGCAGTGGAACTAATAAGCAAAGACAAGGGTAAAGAAACATGCTCTTCTGGGATTTTAAGCGAGAGAGGCAAAAAATATTTCCAGTGACAAGAACCTCAAAGAACAGCATCACTGGGAGACAGTATGAAGAGATGGAGTAGACAGAAAACAGTAGGAAAAAGATCCAGAGAGATGACAGAAGAGGTAATCAAATTCAAAGATTTTTAAGAAATGCAGCCAATTTTCACTTGAATTTGGAAAGATCTGATATAATTAGCAATGGGAACATGGTGATACAGATTTGAAAAATGGGCAGCACCACTCCGCAAATATGCATGGAAAACCGGGAAGAAAACACATGAGGGAGTGGCTGTATGTAAAACGGAAAACAGTGGTAGACAGTGCATAGATTCTGTGGTGCAGAAATAACCTGGAAATAACCTGGAGAGCTAGTCCGCACACCCTTACCCTGCCTGATGTGAGTCCTCTGACCCCAGGGTATGTCTTGGAGGAGTTGTTCAAACATCCAGTCTGCTTGTTCTGAGTCAATAAAGCCAGGAATCAAATGAATCCTAAGGGAGAAGAGCTACAGATAAAGAAAAGGAAGGAAGGAATATCCACTTCCATACAGACTTTGATAAAATATTCTGATTTCCTGGATCCCCAAAGGAGATAATAAAGCTGCAGTGCATCAGCCCAAAAGTCACGTGAGCCCAGCAACCTGTTTCTGAGCGCAGTCAGACGAGGTTGCTGAGGGAAGAACAGAAGGCAGCAACAACAGTATAATAAATACTTGAGTAACACTCTTCCAGTAATTTAAGAACTAAAGACGTATTGAAGCAGAAACTATGCTAACATCTCTTGATGGGTCTTCCTCCTCACTAAATATGTCTAATTGCTTTTTGAACTATAAAAGCCATGACATCAACAATATCCATGAGTCCCACAATCAGCTATGCACTGCGCAAAAACCAGCATCCTTACATTTGTTTTTAACTTCCCATCCAAAAAGTTATTTTCATACCCCTAATTATGGTATGATAATCCACATAAGTAAATAATCATCCTTTATTCACCATCTCCATGCCACTTGGTATTTAACAGCCCTTTAACACTATCGGCATCCTATCATCTCCTTTCCAAGTCAAGAACCCTAGAGTATTTGACTTTTCCTGTTCCATGTCCTCGCCCTTTTCAGTTCTTCTAAATATAAAATGGATATACAAACAAAATATGCAGACTGTAATAAGCAGCATCCAAAAATTGTGGCCACAGTGTTGGGCTGCAGAGTAGGAATGCAGTTTGTGAGATGTACTCAACATCTGTGAGATGAGTACTCAACACCCTAAAGAAATCCAATTAAGAATAGTTAAGAGATGCAAAATTTGATTATTAACTTTCAGGGAATGTGTATATTCTAGCAACATACTATACACACACAATCCTGAAATTCAGATGAAAATACCAACTCTGGAAAGGGAGAATAACTGAGGCAGCTGTCTATCATTTCTCTTCTCCTAACTGGTCAAAAGTTTTACTTTTCAGATTGGTAAATTAGGATTGCCTCACAGTTTCAAAAGAATCAAGAGGCAAACTTTAAAATAATTGTACAAGTTATTATTTCCCTGGCATTTTTTACAATATTGATAAAAATCTACTAAATTCAGGAAAAAATGATTAGTATCAACATTGCAGCTAAGTCAGCAAGGTGAAATAAAATACATTTTTCTTAGTAAGAACTGCAGAATTAGTAGGTTTTGTTTTGAAGTGTCCTGAAGATGTAATATTTTAACATTTGCATTTTGCAAAAGGGACAACTCATTTGCCTAAATTTAAATAGTTTTGTTAGATTATAATTAATTTAAAACAAGCCTAATTTACATCTAAAAGTCATGGTAGCTCTTAACTGTACAAAACACATCGTGCACTTGCTAACACAGGAATACTTATCCAAATTAGAAGTAGCAACTTACGCTGGAGCTTCAAACAAAACGGACATAGCCCCTTTTCCTTATTCCTGGCAAAAACACTGGAGGTAGTGTGCACTAATTGTTAAACATGTTCATTGTTGTCCTCTTCTGTGCTGCTCAGAACTATGTAAGTCTCTGCTACCTGATACTCAAAGTACTTCCAGATTTACTCTAAACATAACATACAAGAGGGAGGGACAACACATGTCTGCTAGATTCAGAACACTCTGTGGACACTAGCTTTTGGAATGCCAAGGATCACTGCAGGAGCAAACAACAAGTGTAATCCACTTACCTAGAAACGCCTGTTGGCAATGTACTCAGCTCATACACACCAGGTTTGCTGAGGATGTAGAAAAGAAATAGCCATCAGATGAACAAATAACAAGAGATGATCTTGCAGCTGAGCAGCTGGGCTTGAATTGCTGCAAGCCTGCATCAGGGAAAGCTGTCTTTAAAAAAAGAAAAAAAGAAACAAAAAAGAAAAAAGCTTTGCACTACTAGAGGGAAGCAACAATGTTCTGAAGAGACAGTCAGAGGTCAGAGTAAGGCAGCAAGGGAAAGTGCAGAAGCAAATGAGCTCATGTGTACTTCCTGCCTCTCTCTCTCGCTCTCTCTTCATCAAAGGCTCAAAATATAGTTTTCGTGCTCCTGAGATAAGTAACTGAGAGATGTCTTTAGTAATCTAAAAGCAACAACTATGAAGACTACACTCTGTACAATACGTTATGTCTGCATTTATAGGTATGCCTAGAACATGAGTTTAACTGAAGAGGCAAAACCTACAGCTTTTAGTCAGAAGACAGGTACCATCATTCTGCTAACACTACAAAGTGTGCATCAGGTTGTGAGACACAGATAAACCAAATTACAGGTATGTGAACAAATTTTAACTACTGTAGCTGATACAGGGGGTAAATAGTTCTTCCCTCTGTTACAGGTGGCACTATTGTGAAGCATTATTTATGCTTACACTAACTGCTTGGCTGACCTGCTGTCTCTTTTTTTCCTACGCTAGCTTCTAACTTTACACTACTCTTTCTACCTAGAACGATACGGTAATTTATCACCCACCAGCTTTGTTCCACCCTCAAAGACTTCCCCAACTCAAGAGATTACAAACTGTATTTTATGCTGTGCAGTATTTAAGAAAGATGAACAAACAGGAACTTCTGTGATCTCTGCCATGCTGTGCACGGACTCAGAGCACAAATCACATCGAACTGCCTACAGCATATCATGGTGACTAGAATAGCACCGGGGTTTTGCTTCTGCATTTTTTTTAATTGGTAAGTGGAACAAAAGAAAGGTCAGTGAACTTTCAGAATACTTTTTAACACCCTGAATTTACTTAAATACTATGTTATTACTACTAATAATAAATAATAAACAAAGAACATAGAGCTTTATCACTCAAACCAAAATGGAAAGTTAAAACATAATACTTGCTACAATCTGTAAGCGCTTCTGCAGTGTTCTGTTACTATTTCCAGTGATATTTTTTTCACGAATCTTAATAGAAGCACCTCTCACAAAAATGGTTTTACTTAATGAACTGTTCGCTTCCACACTACTGGTGCAACGGCAGCTGAACATCATATCTGAAAGCCTACTTTGCACCAACACCCATCTAGCATATCTGAAGTAGCTACAAAAAACTAACTCCAGATCCCCCAAAGTAAAAAGAGAAGGCAAATGAGACTCAAGAGTTAGATCTCTCATTTGCATCTTAGGGTACCACTTAGTAAGAAGCCTCTGAGATGACCAAACTCAAGTTACTTTTCAAGATCTTTAACTTCATCATATACCACCACACCTTGTCACATATCATGCCAAGTTTGTTCTGAGAAGATCATTATTTCAACACAAAGCTACAGCTTATGAATATGTAACTTCACTATGACACTTACTAACTCCTAGTAAGTGATTTTCTGATTCTTCAAAGTGCTGCCATACCAGCTATACTCCTAGACAACAGTAAGTAATTTCCAGTATCGATAACACAGAGATTATTCTAGGGAAATGTTCACGTCTAGCCAAAGGAGACATGTCTGCAGATTTTTTGTCCTAGAACGCCCAAGTGTTCTCTCTTCCTGGCTTATACAGCCAGAAAGCCGCACAAACTACTAAGATAGATACGAACTCTGATTTTAAAATCAGTTGAGGATAAAAGGGCTGAAAGTCCAGACACCACATTTTGTATTGACATTTCTTCCCAAAAAGTATGACAGCTACAAATGAAGAAGGAACCCCTTTAAGCCCATTGCCACTGACTGGTAGGACTGAAAAAACACAAGAAAAACAGTTAAGGCAGCAATATACTCACTCTATCACACCCGCTTCAGGAACTTTGCGTTCCACCTGAAAGGCAACAAGATAATACAGAGTGAAAACTAAACCTTTAAGTACCTGGCATGCTCTAGTTAAACAGAGCTAATCGCCATCTCTGGTGACTCCAGATAGCTGAACAGTTCAGAAGCTGGTCCCAGTTCCACTCCAGGCAGAACAGGCTTTGTGATTCAACCACAGCCAGCACTGAAGCGTCAGCGAGAACGACACACTTCTTGACAGGTCTGAAGCAGTGACAAGCCCAGTCAGAAACATTCATACAACTACCACTCCAGGCAGAATTTAACTATCAATTGCCCCCTAAAGGGAATTCATTTCTAAATTATTCTCATTATTACAATACCTGCTGTTTTTCAGTTGCAACCAAAAAATGCCTGTCCTCACATACAGAATTAAAAGTCTAGAGCAATCATAGAAGGAAGAATGAACAATTCAAGTCTTGGACATCAAGCAAAACACAAAACTAGCAGCTCGTGCTGTCCAGTCTGTCTTAAATTGACTGCATTGCTAGAGATCGCTATGCTTTGTAAGAGACAGTAGCTTAATCTTTTTCACTGCAACAGAAAGAAAACGTTGGGTCCCGCCTGGATTATCATTCTGGTTGTCTCAGGGGTTTATGCTCCTCCTCTCTGACCTCAGCTAAGTGCTGAGAGCAAGGAGGTACCAAGACCACACAAGAAGGTCAGAATATAATATCACCTGGATGACAGGGCTCTGCCAAAGGCAAAAGAGAATCTTCCCCAAACTTCTCCAGCCTACAAAGCCAAGAAGATAGTATTTCAAATGCTCCTGACTTGGAAAGAACTGCTCATGATTTTTTCCAAAGCAAGAAACTGCCTTCCCACTGCCAAAGAGCACAATACACTTCAATCTGCTGACAGGCCATAAAGGAAAGTCTAGAAAACAAATGCCACTCTCTTCCCCTGTCACAAATAAGACTGATTTCCCAACTGAGGCAAAGATAGAGCTCTGAGCTCTTCCACTAACTATCTAACTCAGCTGAGTTTTTAATTTGTTTTTAAGCATTAAAAACATGACTATAGTGTCAAAGCCAGGTAATTTTTCAGTTTATCATTCATAGTGTAATAAAAGATGAGCTTCAACTAATAACCATTTAAGTTTTTACCTCAGACGGCTTTTCAAAGACAAATTGCTTCTGAGCGGGAATCTGATCTTTTCTCATCCAGGCCTGCCTGGTGCCTGCAGGGGTAGGGTTCCTGGTCATAGGTGCTGTAGGTGCTAAAGCAATGGAGAGGGGAAAAAAAAAAAAAAAAAAAAAAAGACAAGACACATGAAATAGCAGGATCATACAAAAGGGCCAAGTTAGAATATCAGCGTAAGGAAATTCCAGTATCTATGTTTGGAAGAACTTATGTAATCATCCTTTGCTTTTGAAAAACTCCCCTCCGCTTGGCAGAAATTTCAGGGAAGAGCCAGATCTACACTACGTAACAGTTAAAATTGTGCAGAACCTGAAATAAGAATTTTTTTATATTTGTTATTCGTAGACAAGCAAAAACGAGAAGGGCTTTTAAATTCATTCTCATCAAATGGAGAGGTTTATCATAAAGAAAGGCACTGCCTTATGTTAGCTTACAGTAAGTTAAAAACACTAAAGGAAGAAGGGACAGAGTTTAAATTCATCATTAAAAAATGAGTAAAAATAAATGTGTGTAACTGCATTAGGGAATATTATGATTCTATATGAGGAATACCCAGGAAACAGATGTGTTTACAGTACAAAAGCATTATAGGTTAAGGCACTATTAAATTTGCAAAACCGAAAACAAGACTTACGCACTTCATATATACGCACATACTCTATTTTCCAAGAGACGTACGCTTAGTCTTCCTTCTTTTTATCTCCCTTTTTCCAGGTGTGGACCAATGCGTTGTTGTCAGCATGCCCTCCAAACCCAAACCAAATTTAGCAGCAATGGTCATGAAACTCTGCATCGTCATGTTATTTAAGTGCCTCGCCAAATTTAACAAATTAATCTGCAAAACCTACTCTAATTTCTGGTTCCTTCTAATAATCCATCTTGTTTGAAGTTTCACCAATTTTATGAAAGAGATTATATAACTTGTTCATCTCTAATAACAGGGACTGACTTGGCTATTACAGGAGGTTCCTTAGCACTCTGTGACTTTTGTCCTTACGGTGGTCTCTCCTTACCACGCTTTCATCAGAAAGGATGAAATCTAGAACCTTTCAACTCTATCACAAACATCTATCATGTGCCATTAGAAATTTTCCCAAGCACCTAAATAAACGGCTTCCCTCTGCAAATTTTTAGGGAAACAAAAAGATAAACAAATTACCTTCATTAAAACAAGATTCTGAAACCAGGGAGCAAGTACGCGAGTAGCTCAGGCATAACACTTAAGACTATGTTGCTGGTTCTCTGGTTTCATTTATTTATTTATTTTTTTAAAACGCATGCACGCAAACAGGATTAAAAATACCAGCCTAAAGTAGAGGCAAAGTAAAATCTTCATTCCGAGGGGTTCAAAAGGTGGGAAAAGTCATAAACTGAGTTTCATATTTAAAACAAGAAACCCTGTTATGGAATATTTCCACCTGTGATACCACAGTTCCTGGCTACCTACAAGAGTTAACCTAGTTAGGCTAACGTTTTTCAGGACAAAACAACTCAGTTAGCCTAGAACACTCAATTTTCAAAGAAATCTGATATTTTCACTCTGCAATTGGAACCGGGTTCTCTGTCCATCTGCGCAGAGTAAACGAGTCCTTTGTGTGTGACTAGAGCCCTGCACAGCAACCCCCTGCCTCTGGATTTTTTTGGTTTAAGCACCGTGCAAAACAGTGATGTTAACTCTAGCTCCTCCAACTGCAATGAAATGCATTTTGCAATGTTTTTATAGTGAAATGATAAAGGAAGTTATATAAGGGTCATGAGTTAAAAAAAAAAAAAATATAT